ATCCAGCTGCCCCTGCCCGGCGCCGGACCGCTCTGCCTGGCCGCCGCTTGGCAAGCTCCGGGCTCCAGCGAGGCCATAGGGCATTTGACAGCTGGCCCGAGGGGCAGGGCCTGGGGAACACGCGGAGCTGGGCTCTAGCAGGAGCCGTGGGGCAGGAAGGGGGTTTTCCCCCCCCCAGGGCCGCCGCTTGGCAAGCTCCGGGCTCCAGCGAGGCCATAGGGCATTTGACAGCTGGCCCGAGGGGCAGGGCCTGGGGAACACGCGGAGCTGGGCTCTAGCAGGAGCCGTGGGGCAGGAAGGGGCTTTTCCCCACCGCAGTGGGGCTGAGGACAGAAGAGGGGGAATCTCACCCCCTGCAAGGAGGGGTGGTGCCAGCTTTCTCCAACCAGTGCCTGGGTTCCTGGGGGATTACTGCCCCGTGGGAGGCAGTCGCGGGCCCAGCCAAGCGGCTGGTTCAGTCGTTCCAAGGCTGCTGTTGGCCGCTGTGCTCTGCCACACACGGAGGTAACTGCACGCAGGGCGGAAGGGGACCAGGCCGGTGGGGGAGCAGGAGGCAGGCGCCGATCTGCCCTCTGCCAATCCCCTGAACTGCGCGGCGGCGTCTCTCCGAGGGCTTGAGCAAGCAGCTGCCACCGGTTCCTCGAAAGACGCAGGGCGGCTGCGTCTGACCCTAAAAATAGCTCCTGGCACCTGGTGGGCATGACGCAAGCTGCCTTCCATGGCCTGGCCCCAGGTCTGGCTGGCAGGAATCCAGGGCAAACATGCATGTCAGTGCTGGCCATGACACAGGAGGTGCCGCCGCAAGGGTGTGTGCTGGCTGGATTCCCGCAGTCCAGGGCTGGGGCTCCTGGTGCAGGCAGGGAAGTAGCCGTGTGCTCCCCGTGGCAAGGACCCAGGAGTGGAATGGACAGCACCCGCTCGCCCGGCTTCCAGGCCCTCTGCGAATGGCCGGGGGGCTGGCACCCTCCCTGAAAGCCCCACCTGCGGCGGCCTCCCTGGGGCCAGCCCGAGAGGGACCCGCGGCTTTGTGCAGGGCAGGGCCGGCACGTGAGGGGGCGCGGCCGGGATTCCATTGGGGCGGGCCCACGAGGACAGGCCCCCCCAGGCAGACGCCCCGCGGCTCC